ACTTCCTCTATGAAAGCATTTCTCCATGCTTCCTTTGTAATGTGCTTCCTGTGAATGCTCAAAATACAATCCATTTTGTTTCTGAAAGACATACTTTCTATTCTATAATAAAGTTTATTGAGCACATTTCTAAGCCTCAACTTAGAGCATAAATGAGTTGAATGTCCCAGTTCTGCTTCGGGCATCTTTATGAATTCCTCTATGGCTTAGCAGAACGTTGTACTTACTGTGTGTTTAAAAAATGCTTATTGAGTTAAATGAGAGACTATTCATCTTTCTGGGACTGTATGGTAAGGTGAGGAAATAGGCATCAATTTCTTAAATATCAACATAATTGAACAGCAATCTGTAGCTATTAATCACACCTGAGTATACTTGCCCTCTAGAGCCTTATTTAGCTTGCGCAGATGGTCATTCTGTGAGCGAGTTTCAGTAAAAAAGTGTAGCTGTTCTTCTAGCTGTTGAACTTTTATCTAAGAAAAAACAAAAGAATAATAAAAATAAGCCTCATTAATAAGATACATATATGTAGATATTCCACAACGAGAAGATTTCGTGAGTTTCAAAAAAAAATTAGAGAACCATTAAAATTTGTAAAAAGCAATCCTAAGTTTCTCTAATCATGCAAAGAATTCTATTGCAACTGAAATATGTAGCTACTTCAACAGCTAAAAGTAAGCTATGTGTTAGTTACTACATGTTAATTTACATGTACAGAGATAATTCATTTGGTTTCTACTGCTTATGGAAACTCCAAATTAACATGACTAATGAATATAACAGTGAGACTTCATAGGTAATAAATTTGAATTTTAAAGGAACTGTGGTATCTAGCATTCAAACTTTTTTTCAATATGGAGAATTAGAATTGTAAACATGCAAGGAGGAGACAGTCTTGTGTTTTTACTGACAGAATTACAAAAGTTGAATAAATGTAATTATACAAGTGAATTGTATTTTAAAACTAACTCATCAAAATGACTACTCACTTCTTTGTCTTTAAAGAAAATTATCATTTGGGGAAAATGATTAATTATCATTAATGTTTACTCACAAATCTCCAAATTGTATGTTTTTCTACATTTTCTTCATCTTAGTCCCAACTCTCTCATACAAATCAACAACATTACTGAGCCTATTCTTAAATCAGGAAAATTTTCACCCAAAATATTTATTTAAATCAACTTTTTCCTCTCTTGATATCTTCTTGTTTCCTACCCGTGGAGGGCAAACACCCCTTGGATGGAACTACTGGACATTTTAAAGAACTGTTAAAATCTGAGTGCTTATAAGTTTTTTTTGAGATTGCATCAGAACACATTTTGTCTTAGGAAATATCTCTTGAGCCATCAGCAGGATCCTTCTTTCTTTCATATTTGCCTGTTTCTGTTGCTCTTTTCCACAGTGCACAGTATAAAAACATGTGCTGTGGCTCCCCAAAGCCATTAGTAAAAATTAATCATGGTTTTCATTTAAGGTTCAGAATTAAAATTGCTGCCCCTAAAGGAGGGTATTGATGCAACAATTATTCTCATTTTAAACATAAGCAAACTGTTAACCTATAGAGCAAACTGATTAACTTTGAAGACTTTCAATTGTGCCTCTCTCCAAGCAAAACACAGAATATCCTTATACCACAATATTTCTTAGGTAATTTACCCTACGTCAGCCTCTGGGGTACTCAATAAAATGACCTAAAACTTGTCAGATAGCATGTTCATATTCAAAAGCACTTTAATTTCTACACTGAATTTCTTATTTGGCAGGATTTCTAATTCAGGACATTCAAATGGGAAAGGACATAAAAGCAAATAAATCCTGCTGCCCCCAGATCGCTAGTATTTCTATGTCATTAATACCCAAGCAGTTTCCATAGTTAGCTTATCAGCCAGTCTCAGGAACAGCAGTAACTTAGGTCAAGGTCATATCCTCATATTGTTTCAAATGATCTAAATATATACAGATATGGATGCACATACTTAATATAAAACTATATAAATATAAAAATATGACACTAGAAACTATGAGACAACTAACAAATAGATGGAAAGGAATTCTTATTTGATATTGATATGCTTTGTAAGGCAAGTATTTAAAGTAATGCAATTAATAAATTTTCTAGGTTTTTTCCTTCACTACATATAGTAAATTTGAAATGAAGTAGGACATGCCTACAGTGTTAGCCCCTTCACAGTTTGAAACGAACTTCAGAGTTAAAACAACCTGAACTACTAAAGTGTGAAAATACGTTCAAGAAATTGTGATAATTTCAGTGTAGCATAGACTTTTATCTTTTGAAAACCCTTGGCTAATATTCATATAGTAGAACACCAAGCAGCAATTCAAACCAGAGAATTACAGCAACAAGCAACAGGACGACTCTCTCAATTATAATGTTGGGTGAAATAAACAAGACACAAAAATACAGGGTGTCCCCCCAAAATGTATGCACATTTTGAATAATTATTAATTCCAATGGGTTAAATATGAAAATAAAGAAACATCAATTGAGCTATCAGAAAAAGTGTGTATATGTTTTTTGGGACACCCTGTATATACACTGTATTATTATTCAAAGTTCAAATATAGGGAAAATTAATCTGAGGTTTAGAAGGCAGGATGGAAATTACCTTTCTAGGGGATATTGACTGGAAAAGTCTATGAAATGAGTTCTGGGAATGTGCTATTTCTTGATCTGAGTGCTGATCATATGAGTAGCTTTACTTTGTGTAAATTCACTAGGCTGTGATCTGTGTATTTTTCTGTACATATGTTATAGTCCAATAAAAATTTATTAAAACAAAACAAACAAAACCTTTGCCTAATCTCCCAATTAAAGTTACAAATGCAGCTGCTTATAGGGGCTAGGCAACTAACATAATATTTGAATCCAGTTAGTATAAAAGTAGTAGGGCCAACGGTAGAGTAGAGTGAGCCTAAAGCACTCAAACTGACATGTTTAAAAAATAAAGGATTGGATATCCATCAGACATATCTAGTAATATCCCATCTATCCATCATTCAACTTAACCACCACAACATTACTAGTACAGTTGAAACATGCTGTGTAGCCTACCTCAACCAAATCTCCTCCCTTGATCCTAGAGTTTGGAGAATGTGGTATTTATTATTTGCATTTCTTTTTAATAATTTTACTATAAATGTATCCCTAAGCAGCATGTAGTATTTAATATTTTTTATACTTGCTTATCACACAGCTATCATCTTGCACTTCCTCTACCCATCTATCAGACTATTCTTTTTCTAAAGATTTAGTTCAAAGTAAATAGAAGACATACACTTCTCAGCATGAGTTTTTACAACTCCCCAGGTGAGTCCACTGTGCAGCTAAGCCTAAGAGCCACCAATTCTACTGGAGTTGGTTTGAGGCAGAACTAGCCATATCAATGGCAAGCTTTCTGCTCTGTGGGTATCACAGGGCCAGAACCCAAAGGCAGCAAAAGGAGAGTAGTAGTATCATCCCACTCACTCAAGTCTATTCTGTTGCCTCACAGTACCAATTTGCAGGGTGATTTCTTTTCAGAAATGTTACAAAAATTTAGCAAAAAGAGAGAGAGAATATAGGCTCTCTACATTCTCAGTAAATGACCTTGCATTAAATAAACAATTATAATAAAGTTTCAGATAGTCTCAGAATGGACTTTGGCTTCAGAATTTTAGGTTTCAGCATTATAGGATAGGTATGTGAATAGAAGTCACCTAGATTTTAATGCAGTAACAAAGTTAGGGAGGTTCAAAGGCTTGTCCAAAGTTACAGAATTAGTAAATGACAGGCTAGGTCCTCTCAAAATTCAGCAATATTTAGTTTGACAATCAGCATTAAAAAGTTAGATGACAAAATTCAGAAAATAAAATCTCATACCTGGAGTTTTCCTTTTTCATAGGCCAGTTTATTTTTACTCTCAGTAATTTTTCCCAAGACCTTTTCCACCTTCTGTTGGGCAAGCTGATAAAGCAAAAACAGATATCCATCAGTACCTCCAGGCATAGAAGGGAATAACCATTTTCCTTTTTAAACAGGTATTTGCACCCTTACCATTTTTATATTAATGCAACCAGGATTCATATTTATTGGCTACTGTCGCCTCTTATCTTTCCCTAGACAGCCAATCATAGTGCTAATATGCAACCTGTTGAGAGGCAAAGGAAAGTGAGTGCCTCAAGAGTCACAGACTTCACTTTTCTTTGTTCATTAATTCTATTTTTGTTACATTAATTATTCCTTTGTAGTTGTGATCCAACCCAGATGTGGGGTGGTTGTATCAGTGGTTACAGAAATACAGTTTGAGGATCATACAGTTCTTGAAGAGATGGGATCTGTGGATGATCACAACCACTTGGACAGTAGGGTATGTTTCAGTTATTATAGTAAAGGAAAGAAACTCAAAACACACGTTTGTTTGTTTTTTGCTTTTTAAATATGTCTTTATTGATTTCAGAGAGAGGAAGGGAGAGGGAGAGAGAGAGTCATTGATCAGCTGCCTCCTGCACACCCCCCACCAGGGATCGAGCCCGCAACCTGGGAATGTGCCCTCACGGGGAATCAAACCGTGACCTCCTGGATCCCAGGTCAATGCTTAACTGCTGAGCCAGGCCTGGCCAGGCAATCAATGCTTCTTAAACACCTACTATGTATTAGGCGCTAGGCAAGGGAGTATATTATTAACTATTGTTCTTGCATTAAAAGAGAATGAAGGCAGATGCATAAACAGGTCAATTTCTAATCGATGTAGCAATTATTCTGATACGGATATGCACAGTATGCTGTGGGAACCCCAGTTAGGGAACCCCTTGGCAATGAAAGGAAAAGATGTTAAAAACCTGCCCAGGTCACACAGTAAATGGAGCCAAGGGTTGAAATCAGGACTGCCCGAGTTCACATCTGAAGGGGGTGTGGGGGGTACATACAACACACACTCGTGTGTATCTACAAAAATCAATAAGAGGTTAAACTACAAGGTAGCTTTTATTGAAAATTTCAAGCGTTAACTCTCAAAGAACAAAAATACACTGCCAGCACTGAACCAAAATAGGTTTAATAGTATTACTAAAATTTTTTTTTAAAATCCTGAAATCTCTACCTTTTTCCTCAGACTCCTACAGCCAACTGAAATACTTCCCAGCATGCTTGGTCAGAGAAGATTCTAGGTGGAGACATACAGATCTGCAAGCTGGAGCTGAGGTGGGTTATCACTGGAAGTCTTTATAAAGAGGTGTGGTCTGCAGGCAAGAATTAACCTTGACCAAATCACTGGCAAGATCTGTCAGTCCATAGTAAGGTACGGCCACAGGCCTGCTCACTGGCAGTGGGGGCATGGAAGAATTAGGCAGACTAAGATGTGGTCTGCCAGAAAGACCAAAAGGAGATGGGTAAATAAGCCCTGCTGAGACCTGGCCAACCAACAAAGAGCATGGATGAATCTTTAATCTCATGGGAGGGAGGACTGGTCTGAGATAGCACCAGGATTTACAGTTAAGCCTCCTGTCACTCCAGTGGGAGTTTAAAGGTCC